GGCGGGGGGGTCTTAGCCACGGTTGTGAAGGGAGGGACTCATATTTCTGATCAGCTTTTGTTTCCCAAGAGAGAAGGGATTGTGTGCTTTTATTTGATGTGAAAATTAAATGAGGGAATGTCTCTGCAACCCCTTTCCAGATTCCCAAACTCCCTAAGTTGGCATTTTCTTCCCTGCCTACTCTTGCCCTCTGCTCCCTCCTGAACTGTCCCTCTCCTTCTCTCCCTCCCACCCCACCCACCCCTCTGGCCCCGTGTGATTCACTGCCCAGGGCACACGGGACATGCTGTCCTTCCTTTCCCAGGCCTCTGCCCTCGGCCTCCAGGGCATCTGTGCTCCTGGCTGGGTTCCCAGCTCCCTGTCTTCCTGGCTGGTAGTTCTGCCCCTGCCCAAATGCTGGTGTCCTCCTAGTTCCAGGCCCTGTTTCTTCTCCTGTCACCTCTGCCTTCAGGTGTCAAAGCACCTGTCTTCTCTGGGTCCCTACCACCTCTCCCCTCAACAGACGTGTGTTGAATGAATGAGTAAAGAAATTTACCACATGCAGCTCCTCATCTCCTTTCACCTCAAAGTGTTTGTTCTCCAGTGTTTGTGTTAGAGGCACCTCTCGGACACCAGAGAGGTGTTATCGACAGCCCCACAGCCCCGAGTCAGAGGGAGAGGCCTGTCCACAACCTCATTCTTGTCTTCTCATATAAATGGATTTAAATGAGAGAACTCCAGATGACTGCATTGTGATGAAGCCCATTTCATTAAGGCAATTAAAGCACACACCTTTATGCACGAAGCAGGGCAAGCAAACTGCCAACTTGATCTTGCCAAGCCTGAGGCTGCTGGCTTTCCTGCCAAGGGAGTAAAACTGCCCTTCCCCTTTCCTCTCCCCATCTCCTTTCCTGCATTCTCTGTGCCCCCTGCCGCTCTCCTCCCCTGGCTGGCCCTGAGGGTGGCTTTTAACCACTCCTCTCAAGCGTCCTTGGTTGGGGGAAGATAATGGCTTGTTAAGTACAACCCAGCTGCAAATTGCCCACACCGGTCTTGTTTTAACTTCCCTGTCTCAGTTTCCCTATTCCACTTCCTAGAATTTTCCCAGCGTTCCACTGCCCTGTAACAATCGGAGGAATAAATGGCCTCAGTGTTCAGCCAGACACCCGGATGTCACCTAGTGTCCTCCCCTACTTCGCCTGCCTCCACATTCAGGCTCCAGTCTGGGTGTTCTAAGGAAGAGAGCTGTGAAATGGGTCTGCCAGGACCCTGGCCCTCCTTGAGCTTAGCAAGACAGATTGTAAGCAAGGAAAGAAACAAACACATCATCGAGTGTCCAACAGTGCAAAGATGCAGAAGGAAACAAAGGCGGGAAGAGAGGCTGGGAATCAAGAAGGCCTCTGAGTAGGGGCTTCTGAACTGAAACCGGAATGAAGAAAGGGACCCTCCAAGAGAAAGCAGAGTGGTGAGGGGGTTCAGGCAGAGGAGGATAGGTGCAAAGGCCCTGAGGCAGAACCAGCAGCATCAGGGCTCTCTGGAGAAGAGTGATAGGGCTGGTGGGAGCAGGGGAGTTTGGGCTGCTTGCCCTCATTGGATAAGGAGCCCTGAGAAGGTTTCTCCTGTTTCTGGCTCTAGGCTCTGTCCTGGGCCTCCCCGATCTGGCAGGCCTGAAGCTACCTGGAAGCTGCACTAGTGGAGAGTGCTTCTCTGCACTCATACCAGGTGTGGAGAGCGGCTACAGTGTTTGGACAGGTTCAAGCCTCGGACTAATGAGAGGGCACGGTGCTCTCATGGCCACGTGCAAGTCCCAGCTTGGAGGGCAGGGCCCTCCCAGCACAATTATAGCCAACAGCTGTAGTTCTAAGCTTGAACCTATGGTCCGAACACGTGGCCCCACCTGCCTGAGTGATGTGGGCTTGATAGAGTGCAGGTGCATGTAATTGAGTAGGATCGAAACCCACGAGAATGTTGCAAACATCTTGACCACGCCCTTACTTTGCCTGGTGGAATCTGGCTATAAAATAAAGACACGGCTTCTAGCGCGTGGCGCTCTCTCTCCATCAGAGAAACAGTGTCCCACCGAGACCCAGCTTTTCTTCTCTTGTCTGTCTTTCTCAATCCTTCACCGCCCCGACTCAGGCTCACCCTTGGCCGTGCTGGCGAGGCTCAACCAGGAACCTACGGGCTCCTGTCAGGTCTATTCTCACTCCCCTCGATTCTGCATCTCCCACTGTGACCACAAGGGCAGGACCCTGTCTGGTCCTTGCATGGAATTAGCAGCTTGGTCCCCAGTGAGCAAGACTCTTCTTGGAAAGGCTTCATGTGGGAGGTGACATTGTAGATGGGCCCAGGGTGACACCTAGGCAGTCTTGGGGTGGGACCATAGTTTTCTGAGTGGATCAGGGGCAAATC